ATGGAGTATTATATTATTTATTCATAGCTATTTCCTCCCCCCAAATTGTGATTCTTTCAGGAAGAACATGGACATCCTCCCCTCACATAAACAAATAAACAAACAGTAGATGAAGATTTAGTGAATCAAAAAAAAAAAAGAATAAAAGCCAGATTGACTCCTGTGCAGAAGTCAATCTGATTAAGTACCACAGCAGAGAGGGACAGGTGGGTCATAAATTTGGATTTAATCTCCCTAGTAACCAAAGCAAAGACACAAGACTTGTTTCAAGACTTGTCCCTCCCCCACTCCTCCCCATTCCTGCAGACTTGACCCAGGCTGCCTACTGTGTCCAGAGACTCCCTGCTAGCTCCTCACTTTCAGAGAACCCAGCCTCTTGCCTATGTTACCCATAATTCTTTTTTTTTCCTTTCTTATGGCAGTACTGGGTTTTAAACTTAGGACTTCTTGCTTGCTAGGCAGGTACCACTTGAGTCATGTCCCAACCCCTTTTTGCTTTAGGTATTGTTTTTTGCTAGAATCCTACATTGTTGGTCTGGGTCTGGCATAGGCTGCAACCCTCTTTCCTACAGCTTCCCACATAGCTGAGATGACAGGCTGATAGGCGCACACCACTAAACCAGGCATTTTCCTTTTTTTCTTTTTGGTTGGGCCTGTGTGCTCTCCCTGAGCGCTTTTGCTCAAGGATAGTGCTCCAACACTTTGAGCCAAGGCTCTACTTTTGGTTTTCTGGTGTTTAATTGGAGATAAGAGTCTCATGGACTTTCCTGCCCAGGCTGGCTTTGAATCATGATCCTCAGATTTTAGCCTCCTGAGTAGCTAGGATTACAGGCATAAGCCAGGCTCCAGGCTTTTTTCTTGAGATGAGATCTTGCTCACTTTTTGCTCTGGCTAGCTTCAAACTTAGATTCTCCCAATCTCTGCTTTCTTTTTCTTTTTTTTTGGGGGGGGGGGGTGTCCAGTCGTTGGGCTTGAACTCTAGGCCTGGGCGCTGTCCCTTAGCTCTTCAGCTCAAGGCTAGCGCGCTACCACTTGAGCCATAGCACCACTTCCGGCTTTTTTTTTCTGCTTATGTGGTGCTGAGAAATCAAACCCAGGGCCTCATGCATGTAAGGCAAGAGCTCTACCACTGAGCCACCTTCCCAGCCCCCCAATCTCTGCTTTCTGAGTAGCTAGGATTATAGGCAGGAGACACCCAGATCTTTATGACTTTTCCTTTGGCTCATGTAGCATTTGAGGAAGCTGGGCTCATCATGGCCCATGCAGCAGCTGAAGGATTTGAGATCCAGGCTGGAGGAAGGACTTGACCTGGAAAACCACGCAGTGACCATGGAGAGTGCTTGGAAATTCATATCTGCCTTGCCACCTGAGCGAGGGCTTCCTGACCTTCAAAGTTAGGGCCATAGACTATCCAAGCAAAGGCCATGTGACTTCTCTCTGGGAGAATGTCAAGAGAAAAGCAAACACATTTTGTTAGTGTTCCCATAGCCAAGCTTATGAAAAAGTCATTACAGTATTATACATGTATGTTCTTGTGCATATATGGACATGTATGAATAAAATACACAGAGAGGCACAATATACATATTTTACATTATATGTGAAAATCTCTTCCACCCAAAGAAGTGAGTAGTAGAATTATACTGGTGAGCATGTTAAGACTCTCTCAATCATTAAAAAGTCAAGGGCCTGCCGGGCACTAGTGACTCATGCCTATAATATAGGAACCTGAGATCTGGGGATCACAGTTTGAAGCCAGCTCAGGCAGGAAAGTCTGTAAGATTCTTATCTCAGATTAATCACAGAAAAAGCCAGAGAGAAGCTGTGGTTCAAGTGGTAGAGTGTTAGCCTTGAGCAAAAGAATCTCAGGGACAGCGCCCAGGCCCAGAGTTCAAGTACCAGGACAGACAAAACCAAACAACAGCCAAACGACTAAAGAACACACACACAGCACGGTCTGTAACAATCCTATACCTTTCATCTTCTTTTTTAGTTCTTGGTCAGCATTGAGGTTTGAAATCAGGATCTCATGTTTGCTCAGCTTGCTGCTGGACTGGCATTCTGCTGCTTGAAACATGCCTCTAGCTCTGATTTTTGCTGATTATTTGGAGATGTAGTCCAGTAGACTTTTTCTAGCTGGGTTGGCCTTGAACTACTATCCTTGTGATCTCAGACTCCTGAGTAGTAAGGATTATAAACAGGAGCCACTGGTGGCTGGCTATCGTGTACTTTAAAAAAATTGAAATGCAGCCGGGTGCTGGTGGCTCACGCCTGTAATCCTAGCTACTCAGGAGGCTGAGATCTGAGGATCGCGGTTCAAAGCCAGCCTGGGCAGGAGAGACTGTGAGACTCCTATCTCCAATAAACCACCAGAAAACCGGAAGTGGCGCTGTAGCTCAAGTGGTAGAGCGCTTGCCTTGAGCTGAAGAGCTGAAGGACAGCGCCCAGGCCCAGAGTTCAAGCCCCACGGCTGACAAAAAAAAAAAAAAAAAAAAAAAATTGAAATGCATTAACTTGATTAGGGATTTAGTCCAGTGGAAGAGCATTTGCCTGGCAAGTATAAGGTCCTGAGTTAGAGAATATAATGAAATGCATTAACTCTCCCTGATTATATAAATAATGCTTGCTTATTATAGATAATTGGGAAAGTTAAATTTTAAAAGAGAAAACTAAATACAATAGGAAGGAAGAGAGAGAGAGGGAAAGAAAGAAAGAAAGAAAGAGAAAGAGAGAGGGAGAGGGAGAGAGGGAGAGAGGGAGGGAAGGAGGAAGGGAAAGGAAAGGGAGAAAGAAAGAAAAAGCAAAAGGGAAAAAAGCTCAGTGTTAGAGTGCTTGCCAAGTATGAACATGGCCTAGGTTTGATCCTAGAGAGAACACACACACACACACACACACACACACACACACACACACGTCATCAACTGGGACCATGATGTGATCATTTTTTATACTCCTTAATTCTCTACATGTCCCCCATGATTTTTTCTTCATGGCTTTAACATCTTGCCATCTCCATTTTTCACGGCCATGTAACTCAGATTTAGTAAGTTTGCTGGATTGTGGGAGGCTTGCCTAAGTGTGCTTGGGCCACAGCTTCCTCAGCGAAAGCTCCTGCCCTCCCCCTGAACCATGAGAATGTGTTCTTGGGCCCCAGGACAGCTAGAGTAGATGATCCTGGGCTGAGACACAGGTAGCAGTGTCACACTGACAGCTAGCTACAACAATGCACAGCTCCAGTCTTGCTGGAAAACCTCTCTGACAATGGTCCCTTCCTATAAGTGGAGTTCCTACCTCTCACTCAGGGCTTGGTAAAGTGTTTTCTTTTAAGACAGTGTCTTACCTAGATTGGTCTTGAACTTTTGATCCCGTTGGGCTGAGCTTCTCAAATGCAGGGACGATAGTCGAGTATCACAATGCCTGGCCCTTTGGTAAGAACTGAGCAAAACAGAAACTCAGAATCCCATACTAAGGTCAAGCTCTGCTGAAAATCCAAGTTTGACTCATTTCAAAGTCTGACAAAAAGAAAAAGAAAGAAAGAAAGAAAGAAAGAAAGAAAGAAAGAAAGAAAGAAAGAAAGAAAGAAAGAAAGAAAGAAAGAAAGAAAGAAAGAAAGAAAGAAAGAAAAGGAAGGAAGGAAGGAAGGAAGGAAGGAAGGAAGGAAGGAAGGAAGGAAGGAAGGAAGGAAGGAAGGAAAGAGAGAGAAAGAAAAACAAAAAGATAAACTACTGATGCTCCCCTCCCTTCAGATTTAGGAGTAGAGTACAAGGCAAAGAGAATTCTAAAATTCCCAACTTGCCGCACAACTTGGGAACCACAGCCCTGTGTAGGCATGACTGCCATTCAAGGAGTCCTTGTCCTTCATGGCACTCATTGATGCCTGAAGTCTCTTCTAGTTTTACCACTAACTCATTAAAATGCCAGTGTCAAGAAATGGGGTTGGAGCTCAGTGGTGGAGCTCATGCTCAGCATGTATGAGGTCCTGGGTTCTAGCCCCAGCTCCAAAAGGTTAAGAATTAGCAAAAAGCCAGTATTCCTGAACAGTTGTATATATTGTCCACCTACACGGGCACAGGGCAGTTCGTTGTCCTTGGAGTCCTTTACAATGTGATAAGGAGCAAAGTGCACAGCGGGGCAGGACTAGAGAGAAGGTAGAGCCGCACACACCAGCCTCTATGTGGGAAGGATGACCAACACCCAACTACCTGCAGGTAGGCCTGTAAGAAAGGCCTGAGTGGAGGGGAGCAGGGTGTACCCCTTCACTTCTTGTGCCTCTCTAAGCTCTTCGGCTCCACCTGTGATTGGAGGGGCACCTCTGGCAGAGCTCCATGCCAGGGTCCTGGGACCATTATGTTCAAACACCAGAGCAGAAGCATTTGGGTAGGCAAAGACCTCACCAGGCTGGGGAACTTGAGGCTGTGAGCACAGGGCTACACCTCCCTGTGCTTGAGGCAGTGAGGCCAGGCCCTAACCTGGGCTGGGCTGGACCTGGTTTGTTCTGACCACCTATTTGTTCTTCAGTGCAATTAGCCATCCATAATGCTTACAGCTCTCCAGACTTGCAGCTTATCTTGAAAATGATAGCACGCTGGGTCCAGAGGCTCCTCTTGGACTGGCCTTGTGTCACACAGTGGGGTTGGGGACACATGGCAGGGGCACCATTACCCAGTGTGTTCCCATGGCCTGCCTTGCTGGATGACCCGTCTGGTCCCCACGCAGGGGGTCCTAGTCAGCAGTAACTACCCCACGACCATGACATGTGTTTGTGGCCCTGTGCTCAACATCAGGGACAGGGAATGAGACTCAAGTCTCTGGTGGACAGCACAGGTACAGAGCACTAAAGGAACAGAAGAGGTAGCATCTCATGAGGTTCAGAATGGGGCATGGGAATCTGGAGTATCCATTAGAGAACATGTACAGGAATGGATTAGGGGAAGGAGCCTAGGGCCAACTGCCAGGGAGGGATGCCAAGCACCTCCACTAACCTGGGCTCTTTCTGGCAGGGGCTGGTCGTGGCCATCCTCTACTGCTTCCTCAACAGCGAGGTGAGTGTCCTGGGGTGCCACTGGTCTAGATGCACGAGCTTCTTGGAGAGGACAGTGGGGGCGGGTCTTTGGGGGAAAGGCTGAGCAGCAGTCTTGGGAGTCTAAGCTCAGCAGGAGCAGCAAGGTTAGCTGGTAGCTGCCCCCATCCTGATTCAGCAAAACTGAATTCTCTGGGTCCGGCTGGGGCTTCTGAAAGTAGTTTTTGTTCTTGTTCTTGTTGACTAGCTGTAACTGAGATTTGCACTCAAGGCCTCTCACTTAGGGCAGGTGCTATACCACTCTAGCTATGACCTCCAATCCTTTCTGCTTTATTTTTCAGAAGGCCTAGCACTTTTGTCCTAGGGGCCAGCCTCTGTACTTGAAAGTGGGAGAAGGGATGGGGTCTAGGGGAGGTGGGAAGTCAAATGAAGAGAGGAAGTGGGGGTGGGAGGAATGCAGTCACAAAACTCAGTGTACATCCTACAGAATGAAGAAATTGAGGAAAGGGGTAGAGTTTGGAGGGATGGGGAAGAATGATGAAAGGCATGACATTGAACTTTAAACTGTGGCTCAGGCCTATAATCCTAGCTACTCAGGAGGCTGGAATCTGAGAATCATGCTTAGAAACCACCCTTGGCAGGAAGTCTGTGAAACTCTTATCTCCAATTAAGCACCACAAAAGCCAGAAGTGCATGCTTAGAAACCAGCCTTGGCAGGAAGTCTGTGAAACTCTTATCTCCAATTAAGCACCACAAAAGCCAGAAGTGCAGCTGTGGCTCGAATGGTAGAGTACTAGCTATGAGCACAAAAGATCAGGGACACTGCCCAGGCCCTGAGTTCAAGCCCCAGGACACAACAATAACAACAAAAAAGAAAAACAACCAACCAGGTGCCGGTGGCTCATGCTTATAATCCTAGCTACTCAGAAGGCTGAGATCTGAGGATCGTGGTTCAAAGCCAGCCCAGGGCAGAAAAAGTCCTGGTGAGACTCTGATCTCCAGTTAACCACCAGAAAATAGAAGTGACACTGTGGCTCAAGTGGTAGTGCCCAAGCCTTGAGCTGAAAAGCTCAAGGACAGCACCCAGGCCCAGGGTTCAAGTCCCATGACTGACCAAAAAATGCATAAAGATCCTATAACCTCTACCTCCCTAATAGCCTGTACAGCCTAATAGCATGTACCACCATACCCAGTTTTTTTGGTTTGGTTTTGTTCTTTTGTTCCTGAGTTTGAACTTAGGAACTGGGTGATCTCCTTTAGCTTTTTTCTTTAAGACTGGTGCTTTATCACTTGAGTGACTCCTCTTTCAACTTCTTGGTAGCAAATTGGAGATATCGCATGGACATTCCTGCCCAGGTTGGCTTCAAACCATGATCCTCAGATCCCAGCCTCTGGACTTGCTAGGATTATAGGCCTGAGCCACTGGCACCTGGTTAGAAAGTATTTTTAACCTCATTTGGGGAACTGTTATCCATAGTAAAGTTCAGGAAACATGGGGAAAGAGCTTAGGCCTCAACTACAGCCCATGTTCCTGACAGCAGTGTTATACACTCCATGGGTGATTGGGTCTCTACACAACTCTTGACCTGTCTTCCCATAAGAAGATTCAGAAGTAGTGACAGTAGGTCAGTCTTCTCAGGTCTCCAAATAGGTTGACAACTCCCTGGGGATTATGCACTCCTTTAGAGGACTCTTGATTTTTTTTTTTTTTTTCCAGTGCTGGGGTTTGAACTCAGGGCCTGGGCCTCTTTGTGCTTAGGGCTAGCGTTCTGCCATTTGAGCCACAGTCCCACTTCCAGATTTTTCTGAGTAGATTATTGGAGATAACAGTCTCACAGAATTTCCTGTCTGGTCTGACTTCAAACTGTGATCTCAGCCTCCTGAGTAGCTGGGATTACAGGCGAGAGCCACTGGCACAGGGCAGATCTCTGATTTTGCAGAGCCTTTGGGTAATATCACCCGAATGTAGGCACACAGAAACCATCACCATATGGCACATAAGTAAAGCCTCTGTAGCAGGTGGACACTCTAGTTTACAGCACTCACATGGAAATTAGTCAAGCATCAAGCCTAGCCTCATAAATGTGGCTGTTCCAGTTAGAGATTGTGAAGGAAATGTCCATAAAACCACTCTCCAGCACCTGACATGAATTCTGAGCTGGCCTGGGTGTCTTCTTTGGAATGAGTACCCAGTTGTCCTGGCTACCAAGATATTGTATGTGGATGTTTGGAGCTTGGCAGCTTGGAAAATAAAGCCAACTCCTTTCTTTGGGATGCTATGTGACAAGATGGCAGGTCCAAGTGCCCAAGGTGCAGTGGGTCCTTGGTACCAACAGCACACAGGGATAGAAATTGTCAGTCAGGGTGCACTGTAGCTGAGGGAAAGCAGGGGCCAGCTGAGCAATGGTATCAGGCCTGCCCTTGCCTACTGGCTGATGCTGACACCTGATCTTGGGCAGGTACAGCTGGAAGTTCAGAAGAAGTGGCGACAGTGGCACCTGCAAGAGTTCCCGCTGCGCCCCGTGGCCCTCAGCTCCTCCTTCAGCAATGGCCCCATCCATGGCACCAAGAGTCAAAGCACCTGCAGGGCCAGTGTCATCTGAGACTGCAGCAGGACTGCCTAGGGTCAGAGGTCAAGCCAGGAGCTGGGAGGCCCAGGCATGCTACAGGACAGGTATCTTCCCAACAGCAGCCACCCTGTGCTCTCCAGTGACTGCATGCATCCCTCCCCTCAAGTGCAGGACTCCTCAGAAGCAAGCAGAAGGAACTTGGGGGCAGCACGGGGAGGACAAGGGCCCAGGACTTTGTGTATAGTGCTCTTCTGGGAAGGACAGTGTAGGAGCTCCATGGTGGGCAGAAGAATAAATGGTGCCTGGGAAGAGATTTGGTCTGTCTTTGTCAAGTCTTTTTGCTCTGGAACACAAGAGGAGGAAAAATACTTGGGCTCACTTCCTGCAGGAGGGGGGCAACTCTTGGCCCTCAGCTCATGTTTCAGACACCATGAGAATTCAAGGCCTCAGGCACATGCCATCTGTGAGCCCTGCAATTCACTGGTGTAGTAGCTCTCCCCAGAGCTTTCAAGGCCCAAGGTAAACTGATCTGATGCAGTCATGGGGACCCTAGCCTCTTGTAGAATCCCCGCATGGTGTGAGGCATGTGGGATGTGGGGGTGGGGAGGAGAAGGTGGTATAGCAGGAAGTACTGCATACTTCCACTGGCTGGGAAGGTGGCTCAGTGGTACAGTGCTTGCCTTGAATGCATGAGGCCCAGGGTTCGATTCCTCAGCACCAAATAAGCAGAAAAAAAGCCACAAGTGGTGCTGTGGCTCAAGTGGTAGAGCGCTAGCCTTGAGCTGAAGAGCTGAGGGACAGTGCTCAAGCCCAGAGTTCAGGCCCCACAACCAACCAACCAAAACCAAAAACAAAACAGCTTCATCAAGGCCCCAGGACTTGCCAAGCTACTCAGTAAAGAGGTGACAGTTTGTCCAGAGTCCTTACTATAAAATACACATGCTTCCAGGCTAGAAAGGACAGGAGTCTGTCTCCCCTCCCTACTAAGCTCCTCAGAACTATGAATCTTACCCTACACCCTGGCTGTGCGTTCCCTGGAGTATCTGTGCTCCCTGGCTCCAATGGAGAATGAAAGAGGGCTAAATACTTACCGTTTTGCTTGGCTCATGCCTGTAATTCTACCTAATCAGGAGTCTGAGATTTTAGAATCATGGTTTGAAATCAGCCAAGAGAGGCAAATCCATGTGATTTATATCTCAAATTACCTACCAAAAGGCTAGAAATGGAGTTGTAGCTCAAGTGGTAGAGTGACAGCCTTGAGCAAAAAGACTTAAGGGACAGTTCCTAGATCCTGAATTTAAAGCCCCAGTACTGACACACATATGCACACGCGTATGCGTGCGCGCACACACACACAAAATAACACCCTTTTACAAAAACAAAAGCATTCTGTAGAGAAGCAGAGACACTCAGCTTAGAGAAAAAAGTATCTTGCTTAAGGGAGGGCAGTTCAGGTCCAGATTGAGTGACCTTATCTCTTATCTTTCCTGTCTACTGGCTGCAGACAAGGCTTACCCCTTTGTACTTTACAGACTTCTGCTGGCCCCCTTCCCACCTAAGATACAGCCTATATGGACCAAGCAACCCTCACAAACTTCTCAGGAGGGGATGTGGCTCAGTGGTAGTGGACTTGCCCAACATGCATACGGCTCTGGGTTCAAACCCCACCACCATGTGGGGGGGAAAAATCCTTCTCAGGTCATTCCCAGGAACTCTCTGCAGCTTGGTGGCTCCATGTTGGCAACCTTAGACTCTACACCTGGGAGGAGATAAAGAGGATTTGGGCATAATGGCACATATCTACAAGCTCAGCTATGTGAGGAGACTGGGAGTAATGACCAACCTACCCAACATATCAAGATACCATCTCAAGAAAAAAAAATCAGGTAGATTATATATGGCCAGTCCAGGAAGGAACACTCAGTGAAAAAGCACAGAGACTAAAAAAATGTATCTATTTCTGGGCAGAAAAATTACTGGAAATATGGCAGTATGATGAATGACTATAGATCCGCAGTGAGGATGGAAATCTCCACCTGCCCAACTCCCTTCACCAACCCTCATCCCCAGGATGGCTGTTAATCATTATCCAAGGTCTGCCAGTTCCCATCACCCCCAGGGGAGTTCAGCAGGTCCAGACACGTGCTCCTCGTAATGTGTTCTAGGATCAAAATTGGTACCCTGAGGCCATCTAACCCTTACAAAAGACAGATATGCACGTGCTCCTGTGTACACCCCCTGGCCTGGTATCTGAAATGAGCCAGGCCCCACTGGAACGAGGGCTCAAGGAAGGATCTGGATCTGCTGGTAGAAGCTGGGGTTATCTGGGGCTTATGAGATCCCCATAAAGAGCAAGAGAGAACTCAAGCCAAATGATTTGAAAACCTATGAGCAAGATATTTAAAAGAATCTTGCTAAGTCAGGAAAATGTACCAGCAGGCATTCCTTCAAGTGTGGAAATCTGAGGCACTGATTGGTCCCTGGTCTAGAGGAGGATAATCCATTCTTGGCACCCTCAGGAGCCCATAGCCCACTACAGAGTCAATGAAACAGGTGTGAACTGTACTGGAGTGTGGCAAGCCTGGTTACCTGTAAACAGGTCTGCTTTCAAATCGATTCTACTCCAAGGAAGAAAACTCAAGAAAGGAGTTTTAAAATGTGTTCTTCTTTTAGAAACAACACCCTAATAATTTGACTAAACCTCTGTAGATTGTGGCTACAGGAACACTCCTAGCTCCACAGAAGCCCCTGGACTGTTTCAAGTGGACCACCCAGAGCTTAGTGGCTAAGAGGAAAGCTTCAAAGTCACAGTTTCACTCAATCCCAGATGGAGGTCACAAGTTGGAGAGGTACCATCTTGATTACACTTTCTTGTAGAAGCCAAGGTCCCTGAGTGGGGTGTTGGGGGTGGGGGCTAGAATTTCCTTGGCTGGTCCCAGGGCTGGCTGAGGCTGTTGATATGAAGGCCACTGATAGCATTGAGGAAGAAGAGGAAGGAGGCTGTGAACTCACACCAGAACATCAGGGTGAAGCCAACAAGCGTGACCTGATTCCGGAGGAGAATCACGAAACTCAGGAGCCCCCCAGAGGAGAGGATGAAGGCGACCAGGAGGAGGAAGGAACCGATGGTCCACTTGCGGCGCGAGTAGGTATCCTCACACACCTGAGACACCATGAGGAGCTCCAAGCCAAAGATGGCAGCTACCACAGCCATGGCGGCCACACTGCGGGCAAGGCCCAGGCCTATGGCCAGTCCTGGCACATGGGCCTGGCTCAAGTCTCTGAGGCATTGTGGTCCACTTTGGTTGGTAATGGTGCAGAAGTGCCACAGCCCAAAGAGGCGGTTGTCATCCAGCAGCCAGTAGCCATCGCAGATGGAGATGGAAGACAGGACAACAGCCAAGGCGGTACATGCAATGATGAGGGTCCGGATAAAGGATTCAAAGAAGGACCGGTGGGGCCTCTTGAGGCCCAATGCCCTGTGAGCCTGAAAGACACCATGGGAAGCAGGATCGGTGAGAGCCTGTGTCATACTTCTCCAGGGAAGACCCCCAAACATGCCTTCCAACTCCCCGCTGGCCCTATTTTCTGCTCCCATCTCACAGGAAGCCTGGAACTGGTCACCTCTACCCCAATCTCCACCCCCATGCTGACCCAGCTTTCTACCTGTATCCTCCATCATAGCCCCATTAGCAGCGAGTGTCCGGTGCTTACTAGAAACTGATTATTCTCTTACCATTCTTTATGTTCTCCGCAATGGATGGAGCAAACCTTGTCTGGCTCTAGTGACCTGAAGCAAGGAGTCTACCTTAGCTTCATTGTATACATAACAACAGTGCCTGGAAGGCAGGGCTCTGGGGCTGAACAGAGCCTGGAGACGTACTAGGCCTTGTAGAGGCCCCAGGACACAACCACCAGTTTTATCTCCACCCCAGCCACTTGTTTATATGCTTTCTATAGTTGCTCTATGACTGCAAGACATTATCTTGTTTTCCTGAGTACTGAAAATCCAGGTTTGTACCTTGCCCTTCAGCCTTGCTCGGGCTCTACCCCACCCACACCTGCTAAGGCAAAGTGTCTGCACCAGCAGTTTCTAGGCCTGGGAAAGTCACCTTGGTGTTCAGCCTGCAGTGCTGAGCACCCTAACCCTGCTAGTTTTCCAGTGAGGTTTTGTCTCATACCTGAGATGTCATCCAGGCTCTGCTCTCAATCCAATCCACTAAGCAAAGGAACTAGGACACTGAGGCAGACACATTGCCACTGCCACAAGCACTGCAAGATTTGTCTGCCTCCCTCTCCAGCTTTGCCTCCCTGTTCTCTCCCTACCACCTGGCTCAGGCCCCATATTAGCCCCTGCTGTATAGTTTCATGTCTGGACCTTTCTTCTCTTACAGCTCTGGCCACCTGCCTAACCAAGTTTGGAGAACTCTTTTTTTTTTTGGTTTTGCGGGACTGAGGAATTGAATTCAGGGCATTGTGCTTGCTAAGCAGAAGCTCTACCACTTGAACCATGCTTCAAGTGCTTTTGCACTTTAGTTTTTTTTTTTTTAATCTAGGATGTTGCACTTTTGGACTTCAATTCTCTATCCTCCTATCTCTACCTCTCAAGTAGGTAGGATTATAAGTGTGTACCTCCAAGTCCAACAATCCTTTTCTCCATTATTTAGGTCTGTTTAAAGTTACCATTTTAGTAAAGTGGGTCCTCTGCTTGTATTTTCCAACAGAGACCCCTGTTTTGCTTTCTGTACCTGTTGTGTATGCGTGAGTGTGCACATGTGAGCGTGTGTACTAGTCTTGAGGCTTGAACTCAGGGCCTGGGTGCTATCCCTGAGGGTTTTTGTTTTTTTGCTCAAGATTAGCATTCGGCTACCTAAGCCACAGCTCCACTTCTGGTTTTTGTGTATGAGTGTGTGTGCTTAATTGAAGAGTCTCACAGACTTTCCTGCCTAGGTTGGTTTTGAACCCTGATCCTCAGATCTCAGCTTCTTGAGTAGCTAGGATTATAGGTAGGTGCTCAGCTTCTACATACCATTTTGCCTGCAATTTGGAATGACATGATAGCTGCCTTTCTTGGACCAAGTCCTCTAGGAGAGCAAGGCTCCTATATCTAGACAGTACTTGGCACAGTGTCAGACCTTTGCATTCAGAAGGTACTTGAGGAAGAGCCATGAGATAAACGAAAGGTCAGGTTTGCAACCTGTTATTTCCATCTGAAGCTTCCTGTAAATGGAGTCTCCTGCTTAGCTGTAAATTAAAGTATTCCCTTTATAGTGTATATACAAGAAACAGTTATACCCTGGTTTGAGAGGTAAACACAACAGTTCTAATGCAACAGTGGCTACTAGGGAACTAGGGTAACTGAGATCAGGGGCTATGGGCGCTCCCTACACTGAGTGCAAAGGAGGATTCCAAAGGTGACTTTCTCCTCTTCTGTGGGTTGAAAGGCAGAGCCTTGCACTAGAGACTAAGCAGGTTCTCCTTAGGCTGCCTGCCTACATTTCCACACATTCAAGCTACTTTCATTTCAATCCCAAGGACCCAAGAACAAGGAAGCTTGTTTAAGTAGCATTCTTTTCCTCCTCCTTCTTCTGCCTGTACCTTGGGTTGAACTCAGGACCTTGTACTCTCCTTAATCTTTTTGTTCAAGGCTGGGGTTCTACCACTTGAACCACAGCTCTACTTCCAGAT